TCTGATGAAGGGTCTAGGCCCGAAACGTCAGCCTTCCTGCTCCTATGATGCTGCTTGGCCTGCTGTGTTCATCCAGCTGTACACCTTGTTATCTAGAATAATATTCCTCTTTTATAATTTGTTTTAATCTGACAGTTCACTGCCCTCCAAAGGACAAGCATCTCTCTAAACTGGACTTTGCTAACAGTAGCTGTCATATTTCCAGTCCCGTGGCTAAGTAAACCAATCGGCTGTTTTGTAACACTCTTCTGTTATGACTTTTTAACCCACAGCTATGTTTCAAAAATTTAAGATATGTTCTAAAGTCCATGAATTATGACCTAGATTTGGCAAAAAAAACCACACATAACAAAAATCTCCTTTTAATTTTCTTAATTGCAAATGATTAGCTGATAGTGGTAGTGCCCTCTTCCATTCTGCACCAGTCTCCAGCAGATGTATATTGACAGCCTAGAGCTTGTTTTGATCTGCTTTTCTCCTTGTTTGCAGTTGCACATTATCAGCTTCAAATAAAAATAACATTTTGACCAATTGCAAGCAAATATTTATCTTTGTGTTTGGACATTTCTATCAGTTAGTGATTAAATAAATGGATCTCTATTTACTGTCTCTCTCTTTTGTTGCAGGTTATGCATTTCTTCTGTTTCAGGAGGAGAGTTCTGTCCAGGCTCTGATTGATGCTTGTATCGAAGAAGATGGAAAACTCTACCTTTGTGTTTCAAGTCCCACTATCAAGGACAAACCAGTAAGTTTATAAAATGCAACTCAAAATGCTTGTAGGCAACAACCATTATTCATCACTCCAGCTGCAGTCCTTGAAGCATATGAATATGTAGGGTCTAATTAAAAAGATGAGTGCTCAAGATTAAGCAGTTGGAGCACTAATCAAACTGTCTTCTGCCTGTTTTTGTAGGATAATCTAGAAATTCATTTCTGAAATCTTGAGTGACAGGCAGTTTTTTTTTTACAAATTAAAAGACTATTTTTGAATAAGAGTCCTATCCTTAGTTTTTTTTCTTAAAAAGACAGGAGGTGATTTTTGTTTCCGAATTGGAACCGCTGCATTCACACATTTGACACGGTTTAGAATTCGCACTTACCATCCTCAGGATCTGTGACCCTGTTTTTTTTTGTTTTAGGAGTTAGCTTCATTTGTGTGGCATATTAGATCAGTGCAGGTCACCACAGATGCATTTGAAACCCTGGGCAGTCCATCTGACTTTGACCCTGGCACATGGAGCAGGTTCCTGCAAATTTAAAAATCTTCTGTCCATGAGGCATCTTCTGTCCCCCCCCTCCAAAAATTACTCCTGTTCTGGCAGGACCTGTGGCTGAATCAATAACAGACCTCCCCTCAAAATGTAGGTAGTCCACCACTATAGCAATAAGTTCACTCGATTCATGTTGTTCTCTTCATTCAACAAGTGCATCATGCACCCTGACAATAGACGCAAACCAGCAATCCTCAGAACTTCACACTGTCCTGCTGGTCTTTGAATCTTGGGGGATAACAAGGTGTAGAGCTGGATGAACACAGCAGGCCAAGCAGCATCAGAGGAGCAGGAAAGCTGACGTTTTGGGTCTGGACCCTTCTTCAGAAATGGGGAAGGGGAAGGGGATTCTGCAATAAATAGAGAGAGGGGGGGAGGTGGATGGAAGATGGATAAAGGAGCAGATAGGTCTTTGAATCTTGTTTTCTCGATCCAACACCTGTACCATTCAGAGCTGGTGATTGTGGCGGAAAAACAACTTCTTGCAGTCGCTACAGGACAGTTTCCCTGTGCTCACTCCAGTTAGATTTTTCAGTATCATGATATCCATGGATTACCCGATCCTACTGGTACTGCCTCCTGCCAAGGCCAGGCTTGGTATTCCAGGGCAACACTGCCTTCTCCCAGCTGTTGATGAGTGTGGACCGACTGTGAAAACAGTTGGCCATAGAGAATGTAAATAGCAGAGGCATACATAAAAAGATGTATTTTAGCACTTAACCACAAATGTACAAATGTTTGAAAACCTGGCAATTGTTATTGGGAAGCTAGATCTGTACCTTTTTGTGAAGGAGCAAGGATAAGTCTGTTCTGATTTTAGAAATGTAATACCTTTAAAACAGTTTGGATTACTTTTTGTACCTAACCTAATTTTCACTAGTAATTATAAATTTTTCTTGCTTACCATTGATACTTCTGTCAGTGATTTGTATTGGTCCTATTATTCCTAGTAGAATGGAAATAGATGACCTTGGAGAATTATTATTATGTATTATCCAGCAGTACAGCTTTGGCTTTCTTTCGAAGTTGGGTAAATTGTTGATCAAAATGTCCAAAGAAAAAACCCCATTGAAATGGTCACTGATCACTTGTTATTTGTGTAGCAAACTTCAAATCTAATTTGTCTGTAAATGTTTCATTTATGTATTAATTATTAAGGATATATTTTGCTGTACAAAAAATTCCTGAAAAACAAATCCTTCAGAACAAGGTCAACATAGCCATGAACAATTTACACTGGAAAATTTGGGTATAAAATGCATTTCAGGATATGGCCCATGGTTCATCAAACCTGCTTAGATTTGGAAATTTAAAAAAAAAACACGTGTCATTTATCAGGCATTCCTGCACTTGGTCCAGTGGCTGAAAAACCTGTGCTAAAGTTTACAGTTTCCAAATACTTCTGTTACTAACTGCATCAAAGTATAAGGATTTTACCAGTTGGTACAGTGAAATGACAAAATTCTGAGTAGGCTTATTCAATAACAGTGACGCATTGTGTGTGCTAATTGCTATTCAAATATCTAATCAAATATTGTCAGGATATTTGATAGCTGAAATTACACAAACTGTTTATTGTCATGTACTCTTTTATTGAAATGATTTATGCTGTATAGAGATATAACAGTCGCTGGCGATAAACTGCAGCTTACTCCCTTTGCCACTGTAAGTGGGTAGACCTAATGTTTTTAGTTCTTTTAGCCTGTTTGTCCGTAAATAATATGCCAGAAAAAATAATAGGCAGATTTGAATAAAACTTCATACACTGATAAGGTATGACCCAAGGAACAACTGTTTAGATTTTGGTAGTGTGGATCCTGTTTCTGGAATTTCTCAAAGGATCTATTAACATTGCAAAATAAGTAAATTGACTTTCTGAGAAATATTATTAGACGATTCAGAGCATTTTTTTTTTTGCTGGAATGTTGAGTTTTCTTAGCTGTTGTTGTGCAATTTGTCACAGCTGTCAAATGTGAGCTGCATTTTCAAAATGCTTTATATAGGATATGAATTGGCTCCTAAATGAGATTGAAACTTTTTTCATGTTTCTAGTGACAAAGCATCAACTAGTCAGGGGAATACCTCAGTGAAGAGCTGTGCAAGTGCAATTGATCTCTTCATTTGCACTAGTACAGTAGCATAATTATTTGTCTCCAATTTATTGCTATTGCCACGCATCGAAGACATAGTGCACTCTGAATCAAAACCTGTTATAAAAGTCATGTTTGTTATAGCCAAGTTACCATGTGTTTTGTGTTATAATCCTACACTGACGGCACAATGTCACTCAAAGTTAAAACCAGCATATTCTTTCTTTGCTTTCAATATGGGTGATTTGTTTAAATATGCAGAACCTTTGCCAATTGATTAATGGCCTACATGTGCAGTAACTTCATAAGGTCAATTTGTGCATGCCGTGTGCAGGAACATGCAAATTGTTTCATAATCATACAGCTTAAAGGGACCATGGGTTAAGACATGTTTACCCACAAACCACATACACCAAGTTCTTAGCCCCTGTAATGCTGATGTGGAGAAAGGGGCTTCTTAACTTTCCCACCTTCCCCAATACATGTAGAAACAAAGTAACTCCTCAAACCTTCCTTGTATATTGAGTCATGTAGGTGGAAGTTTTGTTCGAAAGCGAACTGCATTTCTATAGCTGTAGCTTTACGATACCCAATAAGCACTTTAAGTGCAGTCATCCTTGTAATATAGGAAACATGGCAGCCAATTAGCAGCTAGAAAGTTCCCAAAAACAGCAGCTTAGTGATTGGATAATTTTGTTTTTGTTAATGAAGATGAATATTGGCCATGAGCCAGGACATTAGGTGTAACTCCTCTAATCATCATCTGAAATAGTGGCATGCAATAATTTTATGCCCACATCAGACGGCAGACAGGAGTTTCAGTTTAACATTTCATTGGAAAGACATCACCTTCAGCAATCGAGCCTTGGGACTACACTAGAATCAGTGCAGATTTTTGTATTCAGGACCTTTGTAGGACTTCGACCCACAACCTTGTGACTCAGCAATAGTGCTACCAACTGAGCAATGGCTGACACTGGTAGCAGATCTGGCAAAAAAATGCAAATCATAAAGTGATTTCCGAGTTATAATCTAATCTGGAGTTCAAATGCATTTTATAAACTGTTCAAAAACAAAAGTAATCTAATACCTGAGCCACTAAATCACTATGCAGCCTAATATCTCGGCCACAGTTCATATAGGTTTTTCCAGGCTCAAGACTAATTAAATTGTGATCTTTGTGGATGCTGTAAATGTTGCATGTGAATAATGCATTGAAATGTTATGGGTTAATATCTATGTGCAGCCTCAGTTGTGTTAAAATATAACTATAACTATTTGACAGCAAAGTTGCGGCTGGACAGTGGTGAGGCTACTTGTAGGTAATGTGTACAGTTCTGGTCGTCGTTCTATGGGAAAGATGTTATTAAACTTGAGAGGGTGCAGAAAAGATTTACAAGGATGTTGCTAATTCTGAAAGGTTTGAGTTAAAGGGAGAGGCTGAATAGGCTGGGGCTTTTCTCCCTGGAGTGTTGGAGGCTGCAGGTTTATAAAACTATGATGGGCACGGATAGGGTGAATAGCCAAGCTCCTTTTCGTAGGGTGTGCAAGTCCAAAGCTAGAGGGCATAGGCGAGAGGGGAAAAATTTAACAAGGACCTCTAGTAACTTTTTCACGCAGAGTGGTGCATGTGTGGAATGAGCTGCCAGAGGAAGTGGTGGAGGCTGGTACAATTCCAGCATTTAAAGAACATCTGGATGGGTATATGAATAGGAAAGGTCTAGAGGGATATGGGCCAAATGCTAGCAAATGGGACTAGGTCTGATGGGATGCCTAGTTGGCACAAACAAGTGGACTAAAGGGTTTGTTTCTGTGCTGTATACCTCTGACTCTTAAATATATAAAGAAGGAAAAGAAGGCATATAATGCATATTGGAATAATGATAGCAATACAAATCAGGAAGAGTTTTTCAAATGCAGGAGAGAGGCTAAGAGGAAGCATGAGGAAAGGATCGCAGGCTGTGCTAAAACAAGTAGTAAACTGTTCTTCAAGCATATTAATGGTAAAAGATTAGCAACGGCTAGAGTGGGACCCATGAGGAACAAGCAGAGTAAGCTGCTCACTGAAGCAGAGGTAATAAATGAATATTTTGTTTCTGTCTTTACCAAATGAGATGATGACTGTGGCCTAGTTGAAAATGTGGGTGTTGAAAAACTGAACAGTGTAGTGATAAATAAAGAATACGTGCTAAAAAGGCTGACAGCATTCCGGGAAGAGAAGTTGCCAGGTTCGGATTGGATGCATCCTAGCTTGCTGAGGGAGTTGAGGGAGCAAATTTGAAGACTGTTGACTGAAATTTCCTAGGCCTCTCTAAATGGGTGGAGGATTGCAAATGGGACACCGTTGCTGAAGTAAGGAACAAAGGATAACCCCAGGAAACTACAGACCTGTCAATCGTGGGAAAACTGATGGAGGCCAAAGCTCCAGCTCTACATCCACCCCCATTTCCAGCTCCAGCTCTCTGCTCAACCCCAGCACCAAGCCCTGCCGGGTCTTCATCCGCCCTAGACCTCCCCCTCACTGAGGACAAATAGTCAGTCCTCCGGAAAGGAGTCTCCTTCATTCCTCAGCGCCCACACATCAATGAATTCCGTTCACATCCAGATGTTGAACTCTTCTTATTTTCCACCGCCTCTGTGCTATTTCTTTGACCGCGAGTCTAATCCACCCTCTGCAGACCCCTTCTCCTGCCTCCAACAAACCTCATCCTCCCAGACACCACCCCACAGCCTCCTACCCTCCCTCAACCTGTTCCATCTCCGACTGCCATCGCAACATTGATCGCCTCAATCTCTCCACCCCCTCATCCACCCCAGTCTCTCTCCTACGGAACACGCAGTCATCCGTTCCCTCTGCTCCAACTTTAACCTCGCCGTCAAACCCACGGGATAAGGGGGGCACAGTACTGGTATGGCACATTTATCTCTACATCATGAAGGTCAGGTGCCAAGTCTCTGACACCACCTCCTCCTTCCCCCTCGATTTAAGACTCCACCCCTCATCACCAAACCATCATCTCTCAGACCATTCATAACCTCATCACCTCAGGTGACCTTCCACCCACAGCCTCCAACCTCCTCGTTCCCCTACCTCGCACTGCCCGTTTCTATCTCCTTCCAAAATTCCATAAACCTGACTGTCCTGGCCGACCTATCGTCTCTGCCTGCTCCTGTCCCACTGAACTCATCTCTGGCTGTCTTTTCCCCTCTGGTCCACCCCCACTCCCCACCTACGTTCAGGGCACCACACGTGCCTGCCAGTTCTTTGGCCCCCAAAACCTCATCTTCACTGTGGGCATCCAGTTCCTGTACACTTGCATCGCCCACACAGACGGCCTAAAAGCCTTCCTCTTTTTCCTCTCCCACAGGCCCAACAGACCCCCTCCACCGACACCCTCATCTGCTTAACAAAACTTGTCCTTACCCTGAACAACTTCTCCTTTAACTGCCACTTCCTACAAACTAAGGGGGTGGCTATGGGTACCCATATGGGGCCAAGTTATGCCTGCTTCTTTGCAGGATATGTAGAACAGTCCCTCTTTTGCTGTTACACCGGCACTATCCCTCGCCTCTTCCTCTGCTACGTTGAATGTATCGGTGCTGCCTCTTGCTCCCATGAAGAGCTTGAACAGTTCATCACCTTTACTAACACCTTTCACCCCAACCTCAAGTTCATCTGGACCATCCCTGATACCTCCCTCCTGGACCACTCTGTCTCCATCTCTGGTAACCGCCTCAACACCGACATCGATTTCAAACCCACCAACTCCCATAGCTACCTGGACTATACTCTTCTCACCCACCCTCAGCAAGAATGCGATCTCATGCTCCCAGTTCCTTCACATCTGCTCCCCAAGTTGAAGCATTCCACTCCTGCATATCCCAGATGTCGTCCTATTTCAAGGACTGCAACTTGCCCCCTCCAGTGATCAAAAACACCCTCAACCACACCTCTTGCATTTCCCACAGTTCTGCCCTCAAACTCTCTCCCCTCGACAAAAATAAAGACAGAATTCCCCCGGCCCTCTCATCACCCTGCCAACCTCCGCATCCAGCGTATCATTCTCAGCCACTTCTCCCATCTAAAATCCGACCCCACGCCCAAAGAGATATTTCCCTCCCCACCCCTGTCTGCCTTTCCAAATCTCCCTCATCCCTGCTTCCTTGACCTGACATAACCTGTCCTCCTTCCCCAGCTATTCACCCCAGCTTTCCCACTGACCAATCCTTACTACCCTTCACCTGCATTCACCTATCCCCACCCACTGCCCGCCTCCTGCCCCCCTCACCACCACGACCTAACATTACCCATCCATCATCTTTCCCACCTATCTGCCCCACTGTTTCCACTGTCCAATTCTCACCTACTTTCCACAGCCCCACCCCTCCTCTCTATTTATTTCCCAGCTCCCTTCCCCATCCCCAGTTCTGAAGAATGGTCCCAACCTGAAACATCAGTTGTCCTATTCCGATGCTCCTCCAGCTCCACACTGTTGACTAGGTAAATATACATTTTAGTGAAAAATAAATTGCTAAGACAGTCAACATGGCTTTGTCAAGGGCAGATCATGTCTGACAAACTTAATTGAGTTCTTTTCTTGAGGTGACATAGGCTGTTGATGAATATTTGGACTTAACAGAAAGCATTTTGATACAGTACCATATGACAGGTTAGTTATGATTAATATGGTTTTAACTAGGTCCAGATCCGACCATGGAATCTAAGTGACAGTGACTTTGTAATGGATGGTTCACAGCCTCTTGATCCACGCAAAACCATTTTTGTAGGAGGGGTACCTCGCCCTCTGAGAGCTGGTAAGAAAAAACAACTATTATGGAAGTGTCTGTATCTGGAATATTGTTTAAACTTGTTAATTACTTGCACCTATCAAATGATCTTTTACTTTTTACATATCTTAACCATCAATGCTTTATTTCGTTGAATAAATATTGCCGTATACAACACAAGCTTTGAGTCTGGTTTCATCCTCGTCATGAGGCCTGATTTCTGTTTGTTTAACCCGTTTACAATGAACTCTTTACTTCATAACTGTCCTTCTTAAAAACTGAAAGAACTGAGGATGCTAAATCAGGAACAAAAACAAGTTGCTGGAAAAGATCAGGACTGGCAGCACCTGAAGAAAAATTCAGTGTTAATATTTCAGGTCCCGTGACCCTTCCTTAAAACTATCAGTTTTGTCCCCAGGACTTTGAAGAACCTTAGAATACTTTAAAAGATGCTTTATAAATGTAAGTCATTGGCATCATCCTGAAGACATTGGTCAAAATCCAACCAGTTGCCAGTGTAAATTGGTAAAATTGAATAGTTCTAAAATAAGTGTTTTCCTTTCTGATGTTGCATTGAACTGATGAGGTGCGTGTGTAACCTGGGGTTAACTTTAATGTGAAAGTTGCAAATAAAAACTAAGCATAATATGGATCCATAATTTTTTAATATCCCTAATGCTTGTGATCTTGTTTTGGAACTGTACTGAACTGTTATAGCTGGCTGTTAATGTTACAATTCATTATCAATTTTGATTTGTTTGTAGAGGAAACAAATGTTCATTTTTTTTATGCTTCATTGCCAGTTTTAAGAGTTTCCCTCAACTAATTAGCTGATTCCGAAAGTGAAACAAATAGAAAGTAGGACCATAGAATTTGAACCGTGGTAGTTATAATCTTCAATAAGCAACCATTTTGTTAAATATTTATGTGGTTTACATTAGCCAGTAGGCCGCCAACATGATGAGGCTTCTGCTTGATCTGTTTGTAAAAGTTCGTTCATTTCAATTTGTGTAATTGGGTTTGAAAGCCTTTGTATTTCTTCTGCAGTGGAGCTAGCTATGATTATGGATCGTCTTTATGGTGGGGTATGTTACGCAGGGATTGATACTGACCCAGAGTTGAAGTACCCTAAAGGTGCAGGGCGTGTAGCCTTTTCGAATCAGCAGAGCTACATAGCTGCCATCAGTGCTCGATTTGTTCAGCTACAGCATGGAGATATTGATAAACGGGTAAGTGTCATTCTGCAATGTTAACAGACCTGGTGATTTTGTATGAACTTCCAGAAGTATAGAAATTCACCTTGTTAAATTGTATGACCTAGATAATTAAACAATTGAAATATTTACATGTATATGTTCACAGCATGACGGGTTTTTTGCTCTGGGCAATTGCAACGACCATTTTTTGGTATGGGATAGTCAAATAAGAAACTAATCCTTACAACAGTGCTGTTGAACTGCTTATTGAAATACTGTTGCAGATATTTTTGTGGCTATAAAGTCATGACTACTTAAATACAATGATTGCATTTTAGTAGAATTAAGATTATCATGTTTTAGTAAGCCTTGTTTTTAAATCCCTCCCTAGTCACACCCCTGTAATCTCCTTGAGCATCTTTGATTTCAGTTGCACCATTGAGGCGTTTTACCTAACATTGCCAAGGTCCTAATCGCTCGAAAAGCCCCACACACTTTTTTTTGGCTTTCTGTTGTGCTTTCCTTCATTAAGGTACTCCTCAAAATATGCTTTCAGTGATCTGATTCGATCTGCTGCCGAATGTAAGATTTTAACACTCCAATGAAGTGTCTTGGGATGTTTTGTTACTGTTAAAGGCACTATGTAAAAATAAGATGATATTGTTGTAAGCCTACACTTTACGTAGAGATCTGTTTACTGAAGAAGGGGAAAGAATCGAACCCCTAGTAGTGATGCAGAAAAATGCATTCAGTCCAAATCCTGCTGGCAGAGCAGAGTTTTATTTAATTTATTCATAGAGTACAGGTTGCTAGGCCAGCATTTATTGCCCATCCCTAATTGACTTGGAAAAGATGTGAAATGCCTTCTTGAGCCCCTGCAGCCCATCTGGTGTAGGTTCATCCTCTGTGCTATTAGAGATTCAGTATTCCAATCCAGCAATGTTGAGGGAACAATGATCCATTTCTAAGACCAGGTGATGTTGACTTAGAGAGCAAATTAGAGTGATGTTTCCATGCGCGTGCTGCCATTGTCCTCTTAGGCAGTAGAGTTATGAAAAAAATTTAGTGTTATGATCCCAGCTGACGTTACTGAGTAGGTCAGATCCTAGACTAATGTCTGGCTTAATGGCTTGTACTTCTGTTTCATTTTAATGAGGTGATCTATCACCAAAACATAAATGCATAATGTGGCACATTCAAGTTTGACCAAAAAAGAGCAGTAGGTAATATACAAAAATAAAGGTGAAATAGAATACATCAACTATTTACTATAACACAAATTTAAAGATTTTGATACACCAGGTAAAATACAATCCTATTAAACCAAAACAATCCTTTAAAGTATTCACTCCAGAGTTCATCCCCTTCTGCTTCACATTATAAGGCTTAATTTTACAGTGGCTTCAATGCCCCATCTCGCAAATCCTCTTGGAGCATTCATGAACTAAACTTAAAAGTTCTCTGCTTCACATACTTCTTCAGGCTTTTAACCAAGTATTTCTGATCTGGAACTTTTAAACTAAACTCCTTACACAGTTGATACCTCTTTCTGATTGCAACTAAACTACCTCTCTCTCTCTCAAGAGCAACTGATCTATGCATTCAACTTTGGCCAGGACTTCAGTAAACAGCTAGGCTATTGTACACAGTTCAGGAATCCACATTGTAGGAGGAATACAATTGCGCTGGAGAGGCTGCAGAAGAGTTTTACCAGGATGTGAACTGGAGAGTTTTATGAGGTGAGATTAGATAGACTAGGGTTGTTTTTCTTGGACCAAGTAAGTTGCTCAACACCAGTTTCTTGAGGGCAATTAGGGATGAGCAACACCTGCTAGCTTTGCTAATGACACTTGGATCTTGTGGGGAAAAAAGAAGTAAAAGCTAGATATCTCAATTGTTTCTCCTCTGCTTGGCTTCATGGATACAATTTGAGCAGGCTATGCCTGAGGATTAAAGTGATGCTAATTGTGTAATTTTGAACTACTGACATGCCAAAAACATGCTGGAAATTTGGGCACACTGCTTTTTTTTTTGGGCCATTTGATTTGATGATTGGAAGAATTATGTGCACCATGAGCAGAGTTTGAATGTTTGGAGCAGACTATTTTCTTCTCCATAAGAACAAAGTTGGAAAGTAGTCTTATGGTGCGGTGAGTGATACATTATCGCAAATACTTCATTGTCCAACACTACTTCCATCAACAGTGCTGAAAAAGGAACTTTTAACTATTTCACTAGTTTCCCATTGGACATGTTTTGGTTTTCTAAGTCAAATGATTGAATTTGAACAAATTTGCGAATTTGAACCCCGGTTATAAGGTTGTCACTTTTATCTTACTAGGATGTTATGATTCTCTTTTCAACTGACTCCATGTTTTATCACATGCAATGAAAAACATTACAATATATGCGGTGTGAAGGAAGTCTGCATATTTATGTATTAATATGAAATAGATTAATGTCCACTTCTAAGGTCTATATAAATCATTATTTGATGTTTATTTCTTTCATGCCCCCTTTTCAAACAAAAAGTAAATGGAATTTATTTTGACTTCACTTGATCATTAAAATGCTCCAAAACTACTTCATGCTCTGCAAGGCCGTTCTATGATCCTTTTGAAAAATGTATCGTGGAATAGTTTGTGTAGTGGGGTAGATTTTGTTTAATATATATACTGGTTTCCCATTACTGGAATAGTTCATATATAAACATTGTAACTAAGAAGGTTTTGCAAATAAGTATTCTACTAACGGGGCTATTATATTTAAGAGTAAATTGACACACGTAACACTGACTATTGGTATCACAGAAGGGTTTTATTGACAGATGGATCAGGTAAAATGCCTACGTCTGAGGAGATTAGAACTGCACATTAGTCATTTCAGCTCAGTGGTTAAGAACAGCTGCAGTAATTAGCTGTCGTTCCCATGATAAATGTCTCTATGGACCTGAGAGTTTTGACCTTCTGTGAGATTTGAATTGAAGGCTTTCTTAACAATTCACAACAAACTTAGACACATGCGCGCACAATACTTGTGTGTAAAATGTACTTGCTGTCCTTGGTCATAATTCAAAATATGTAACGATAACTTGTAAATTTAATTTAATATTTTGATTCATACAAGTATACCTCCAGTCAGCACTCCAGCCTTCGCTTTATTGCATGTTGAACTTGTCACATGTCACATGTCACATAGCACAAGATGTACAATTGCTTCGTCAACTTACTGGTCTGCCTTAATAGTAGGTATTTGTTTAATGTAATAAATTTTGCAAGGTTTGAATTAAAAATCTTGTTTCCATTTAATTATAAAAAGACAATGACTAATGACAGAAGATGCCTATTGATTCTGTCCTCTGGCATATTGTGCAACTCTAATATCTGACCTATATGGGCCTGTACTTTTGTTTCTTAATGCATAAGGTGCATAATACAGAAGTGCATGGCGTTACAGGTAATGTATTGGCATGGATAGAAGATTGGTTAACTAATAGAAAGCAAAGGCTGGGGATAATCATAGAATCATAGAATCCCTACAGTGTGGAAACAGGCCCTTTCGCCCAACAAGTCCACACCGAACCTCAGAGCTGGTTGGTGATGAGTGGCTAGTGATATGCCTCAGGGATCAGTGGTACTGCAGTTGTTTACATTTTATGTAAATTTACAATAAATAATTTACATTTGGGGACCAAGCATAGTGTGTCAAAGTTCGTAGATGACGCTAAAATGAATGGTAGAGCAACGTGTGCAGAGGGCACTGAAAGCCTGCAGGGGGATATAGATAGGTTAAGTGAGTGGGCAAGGGTCTGGCAGATGGAATACAATGTTGGTAAATGTGAGATCATCCATTTTGGTAGGCTTAACAGGAAAATGGACTATTATTTAAATGGTAAAAAATTGAAGCATGCTGCTGTGCAAAGGAACCTGGGTGTCCTTGTGCATGAATTGCAAAAAGTTGTTTTGCAGCTGCAGTAGGTAATTAAGACGACAAATGGAATATTGTCCTTCATTGCTAGAGGGATGGAGTTTAAAAACGGGTTATGCTGTAGCAGTATAGAGTGCTGGAGAGGCCACTCCTGGTGTACTGTATACAATTTGGGTCTCCTTGAGAGAATGTACTGGCACTAGAGGGGTTGCAGACATGGTTCACTAGGTTGGTTCTGGATTTGAGAAGGTTACCCTATGCGGAGAGATTGACTAGACTGGGACTGTACTCACTGGAATTCAGAAGAATGAGGAGGAATCTTACAGAAACATATAAAATTACGAAAGGAATATATAGGATAGAAGCAGAGAGATGTTTCCACTGGAGGGTGAAATTAGAACTAGGAGGCACAGCCTTAAAATAAGGGGAAGCAGATTTAGGTCTGAGTTGACAAGGAATAAGCTCACTGAAAGGGTTTTGAATCTGTGGAATTCCCTGCTCAGTGAAGCATTTGAGGCTACCTCATTGAATGTTTTTAAGGCAAAGGTAGATTTTTGAATAGTAAAGGAATTAAGGGTTATAGTGAGCAAGCAGGTAAGTGGAGCTGAGTTCATGAAAAGATCAGCCATGATCTTATTGAATGGTGGAGCAAGCTTGATGGTCCACATGGCGGCCTCCTATTTTCTTTTGTTATGCTTGGCCAAATGGGGTGAGAACTAGAGGGGTAGACCTATCACGGAAGGCTGGACTTTTTTTTTTAATATATTGAATGCAAGCAGGCCAACATTTACTGCCCACTCCTAATTGTGCACGTGAAAGTGGTGGTTGGCTGCAGCTGCCGTCCTTGTAGTTTAATGCTGTTAAGAAAGGAATTAACATCGCAACTATGTAGGATCAGCAATTATCATTGTAAATCAGGGTGCCGTCATGATTATGAGCAGGCTTTGGAAAGTCAGCAGATTTGTTACACTCCTCAGAATTCACAAGCTGTAACTTCTTGTCACTATTCATAATCCTGCTGCAGTTCATTTCCTGCTCAATAGTATCCGCCAAAATGTTGTTAGTGGGGAATTCAGCAATAACATTGTCATGAGGTGATGTTGGGTTCTGTCTTGTTGAAGGTTGTCATTGTCTGACACTTGTGATGTAGGAACATAGGAGCAGGAGTAAGCCATTCAGCCCATTTGAGCCTTCCATGATACTGTATGTTCATAGCTGGTCAATGCTTTTTTTCACCCCCACATTACTCCTGTATTCCTTAAATCATTAGTATTTAGGAATATATTACTGTACTTTAAACCTGCTCCATGACGGAGCTTCCACGAAGTGGAGACTAGAGACTTTCCAAGATTGACGATCCTCTGGTTTTAAAAAAGGTTGACCTCATTTTGGTCTAAGGTGACTTTCTCCCTCTTGAAAATTGTACCTGTTGGTTCTGGACCCCTCAACCAGGGGGCCCATCTTAGCTGCACCTGCCACATTAATCCCTTTTAAGTATTTTTCAAATTTATTTGAAATCAATTTTTTTCTTGAAATTCTAGACAGTACAGATCCAGTTTGCCCAATCTCACTTCATAGGACAGTGCTGCCATCCTGCGAACAAGTCTGGTAAATTTTTCAATGTTCTCCTTTTATGGCAATATTATAATTCCTAAGTTAAGGGTGTAAAAACTATACATGCTTCACCAGGTGTGGTATAAGTAAAGTTGTGTACAATTGAAGCAAGACATTGCTATTCCTGTACACTCGTCCTCTTGCAATAAAGGCTAATGTACCATTAGCTTGCTTAATTGGTTTCTGCACCTGCATAGTTGGCCATCAGTGGCTTATTGGCAAAGACACTGGTCGCTTTGTATATACATATTTATCCACATTTAAACTCTACCTGCCGTTGTCTTACCTAATCACGAAGTACGTCCAAATCCTCTTGAAGTCGCTTTTGGATCTTATAGCATCTAGCTTTATATCGTCCATGAACTTAGAGATGTTACATTTGGTCCCCATATCCCAATCATTAATATTTATTGTGAACAGCGAGAGCCCAAGTGCTGATTCTTATGGTATCTCACTTGTCATAGACTGCCAAAGTGAGAATGACCCATTTAACCTTAC